CCCCCCCCCCCCCCTCCACACACACACACACACACACACACACACACCTGTTGGCTCTGGTATTGAAATTTCTCCTTTTGTGGCCTTCTTTCACCTGTCAATCTAACCCGATGCCTCCTCTTTTTTCCTTTGTTTGTGGATTTGGACCTTCAGTCTGAGGAGCTGCAACAAACTCAGTCTTATAAATAGCACCTTCTCATAATGGATCAACCAGTTTGTTGGTGACATCCAGAACTAGATGTTCACATGCAAAAGAACCATCAGCCTAACAACTGACTGTTATGCCCCTTTTCCATAGTATCTTTTAGTAGTGATGGTAGTATGAAACAAAAGCTTCAAAACATGCTTCGAACCCTGGAGTAAAATTACATCGGACCACTGCTTCGGAGCCTGTTTTGGTGCGGAAAAAGTCACGTGACACGTGACGTCCGAAACACAAACTGTTTCATTGTCAGAATGAATCGCTTGACTGGTTCGCGGTCCAAACAGCTGATTCCCTGGCACCGCTTCCTCTCGATTCTGACAGGTGACAGGTTGAGAAAGTTTTGAATTGAGAGCTCAACACTATGAAACAGCTCTAAAATGTTTGCAATGTGTTGGAGAGTAGGTGTGTTTCTGCTGTTAGTTTGAATAGAGTAATTATAGAGGCAGCCAGGAAAAGAGGTTGTTCTAACATGTGGGAACACTTCATTCTGCTCATGATAAGGTGGTTTTGGTATTTAAATGTCAAAAAAGTTATAGTAATGTTCAGCAGGGAAGATATTATCTAATCCATTTAACCCATGTATTTAATATAATTACAGTAAAATGATGTATGTGATTTTAATCATATATCAGTATGGGCTCAAATTAATATTATTTTATTTACATTAGTGTATTTGTGCAGGTGCAGTGTTTGGTGTGTTCAACTGAACTGAAGCATCATGATACCTCCTCTATGATTAGACACTTCAGCTCCAAACATGGAGATGCTGGAGATGTTATTTCATCGTTATTTTAAGAATGATAAAGACTCGGACTCTGCCACAGTTACACAAGCACAATACCATTGCAACATTTTTATTAAATCCCTTCAATGCACATTTCATCCATCCATCCATTATCTTTACCCACTTATTCCATTTTGGGTCACGGGGGTCGCT